ACCCCTAGATTTACAGCACAGTGAAATTAAAACATTTAATAACCCTCAATTGCCTAACTGTTCCTAACTAGACTTTATGAATAACAGATCTTGGACACCAACTTTGTATCAAAAATTAACAATGATAATGTAACTTTAGTAGAGCACAGAAACAGCAAGGTAATTTAATTAATATCTCTGTAAGGCCTAATCTTCTTTGATCTTAAACCTCTCTCTCACTCAGGCAGACAGACACAGTCAAGGGATATATTAAAGAGAAAGTAATTGATTTTCCAGGTCAGTAAACAATTTCAAACGATGGATGCCAGGCCTTCAAAAATCTTTGGACAATTGGTTGTTCAAAGGCAAGTAGAGCTATATATCTTGTTTGATTTCCAAAGTCACTGGCTAATGCAAACCATTTCAGCAGACATCTGTAAATATTAACTTATTTTTTACAGACTGGGATTCTTTTCTCAGAATATTCAACAATTCGATGGCTAGAGAGAGTCTACAGATGTTTTCAAAAGTCACACATCTCATGCCAAAACCAAGTCAGAACTGGTTCTCTCATTTTCTCTTTCCAATCAACATTCTGTCTGGTTGGCTGGTTATTGCTCATCCTCCCTTGATTGACCAATTCAATATCCAACTAGCTACCAGTCCTGAGCATAGCAACCACTTGGTGCTGGTTTGTTTACAGTCTCCTTTAGATCAGTCATTACTTTCCCGGCCAGTTCACAATAGAAACGTTTGTCTTAGTTCTCTTCTGTTTTAAAACAAGCTGCTGGTCAAAGTTCAATTCTTAGCTTCAGCTCTCGGTTCCAAACCCAAAAAAAAGTACTGATGGCATCAACAGTAAGACTTCCCTATTTTTTACTCCAATTACTTTGAAATAAAGGCCAACGTTCCGTTTGCTTTCTCTATTACCGACTGAACTTGAATTTTTGCTTTTGTGATTCATCCATAAGGACCTCCACATTCCCTCTTCCATTGCTTTCTTCAGTCTTTCAGCTTTTAAGTATTATCGTGCTCTTCTTTTCCTCCTGCCAAAGTACATAACCTCCTTTTCCTGCACTATATTCCAACAGTCAAGTTTTTGTCCACTCATGTAACCTGCCTGTGTCGCACTCCAGGCATTTTGTCATCCTCACCACTTGCCTTCCCACCTATTTTTTGTCATCCGCAAACTTGGCGATAGTATATTCACTTTCCTCATCCTTGCCATGAATATATAATAAATAATTGTGGCCATAGCATTGATCTCTGTGACACTCCACTAGTTACAAGTTGGCATCATGAAATGTCTCCTCAGTCCAACTCTGACTTCTGTTGGTTAGCCAATCTCATATCCGTGATAATATACTGGTGTCACCACAATGAGCTTCTTATGTTTTTACGTAGCTAAATGTGCGGTACCTAATGAGACTCTTTTGAAAATCCAAATATATTATGTCCACTGCTTTCCCCTTTGTCTACCCTGCTTGCTGCCTCTTCTCACAATTCTAGTTAATTTGTCAGACTTGAAGACTTCCTCTTCACGAAACTATACTGACTCTGCATGATTGTGTTAACTATTTCTAAATGCTGTGCTTTGACTCCTTTTATAATAGACTGACGTTTTCCCGATAACAGATTTTAGGATAATTGGCCTACGGTTAGCTGTTTTTGTAATTGCTCCTTTTTTTTTTGAATAAAGCTGTTACATTGGCATGTTCTCCAATTTTTTAGGAATTTTCCAGAATCTTAGGACTTTTCAAAAATTACAACAATGAATCCACTCTCTCTGTAGCTACTTTCTTTAATGTCTTAGGATGCATCCCAAAGGATTTATTGGTCTTTAGCCCCAGTAGTTTCCCTAGTACTTTTTGTCTAATGATGGTTATTGTATTTATTTCGACTTCCCATTTTGCCTCTTGATTATTTAGTATTTTGGGAAGTCTATTAGCCTTCTATCTGATGCAAAGTGTTTATTTAATTCTTCTGCCACTTCCTGGTTTTTCATTTTTATTTCCCCGGCATCATTCTCTAAGGGGCCTATGTTCACTTTGAAGTCTGTCTTCCTTTTCTTAAATATTTTGGAACTCGCTGCTTGAAAGGGCAATTGAGGCAGAAACTGTGGTTACTTTTAAGTCTATTTGCACTTCACTTCAAGTGCCTTAAAGTACAAGGTTTACCAACCAACAACTGAAAAGTAAAAATAGGCTGGTTTGCTTGTTTTTTTTTTTAACCAAGCACAGACATGGTGGGCTGAATAGCTGCCTCCCATATACTTGTATCCATCTGCTTCATGAGATCTTGTAATGTACTGAGCAACTGGAATATGAAGTTAGTTAGGATTTATCACTTCAATGACGATATGTAGACTAGATTAATTTGCATTTTCAACTTATTTTCTGTTTTATAAATTCATTCTATCCAGCTGTGATTTTACAGCTATGAATTTGTCTGCTAACTGTGGCTGGAATATTGACTAAATTAGTTAGATTGCCTAGAAAGGATGCCAAGAAAAGTGTTTGTAAATTAAAGCTTAAAACAGCAAAATGGAGGGAGCAGACTTGTACGTTGAGGTTAGGTTGTGTAAGAACAGCTTAAATTGGAGAAATCCCATGTCCCAGTCTGAAATTTGTTGGTACAGACCAATCGTGACCTAGAGTACATATTGAGGATCACACTTGAATGCTGCTGTAGTTGAGATAAGGCATTAACACTGTCTGTTTGTTCAGGTGAAGGTTAAAGATTATTTGATGCTGCTTAAAAAGAACAGAGAGTTCTCACGTCATAGCCAAGTTTCTTTGCTTACGCATAAACAAGTTCATTTGCTGTGTATGCAAAATGGCTGTTGTATTTACTTAACTAACTGTGACTGCACTTTAAAAGTAATCAGTTTGTATAAAGTACTTTGGGGACATCCAGGTGATATGAAAGGTCCTTGTTCTGGCTCAAATGTTTTAGAGTTCCTTAGTTTCCCATTTGTTATTTCTGAGTTTGGATGGCCACCCTATCCAAGTTGGGGTGTAAATGGTAACTATTGCAATGGATGGAAACCTATTGTTTAAGTTCAAGAAAGTAGGAATCAGGACTACCTTCAAGCCTGTCTCTTGTTCAAAGTTTTCAAAAGGCATTCTGGCCTCAGTCCTGAAGGGCTATGTTCTATGTTTAGTGTGAGAGAAGGTCATAGTAAATTTTTCTCTGCGCAGACTGTTCGGGACAACCGCAATGGCTGTGGAGGAAAAGTATGCACAATGCTACAAAGGCATAACCGGTTCATCTGCATCTGAAACAAAGCTAGGTCAATGTTTTGGGTGTCAGTTCTTCTGAGAAGTGGAAGAATCAGTCTAGATAAAGTCCTTTTTTATGGACTGGTGAAGACAAGTCTGTTCATGTCTAGAGAACAAAATGGGAAGTGTGTGCTAAGGGGTAAAGAACAAGAGATCAAATCGACAATTTCTTTCAATAAAGGTGCAGCAAATGGCTTTGACTAGCTCGTGGATATGACTATTGATGCTGGAATAGGGCAGAGTGTTGAAAGATGCAGGCAAGTGGGATGAGAGTTAAATGGAAAGCATTCAGATTTTCTGAACAAAATTTTCTTCATTTGTGGGACCAAATGTAATATTTCCAAGTTTGTGGATGACACAAAACTAGGTGGGAATGTGTGTTTTTGAGAGATGCAAAATAGCTTCAAGATATTTTGGACAGACAGTGAGTGGGCAGGATCATGATGGATGGCATACATTGTGAAAATCAAGGTTATATACTTTGGTAAGAGGAACTGATGCGCAGAGTTACTTCTTAAATGGTAAGAAGTTGGAAAGTGTAGATGTACAAAGGGGTCTGATAGAATAAGTTACTGAAGGCTAACATGCAGTTGCGGCAAGATATTATGAAGGCTAGTATTAAGTTAGCCATTTTGTAAGAGGACATGAGTCCAGAAGTTGTGAGGTTTTGCTTTAGTATAGGAGCTTGGTTAGATTGTACCTGGAGTACTATGTGCAGTTGTGGTCTCCTTATCTCAGGGAGCATATTATTGCTATGGAGGAAGTGCAAGGAATGTTCCTCAGACTTGTTCCTGGGATGGCAGGACAGTCCTGTGAAGAGAGATTGGGTAACCTGAGCCAATAATCTCTAGGGTTCTGAGATATGCGAGATGATCTCAGTGAAACTTAGAAAATACTTAAGGGGATAGATAAAATAGATGCAGGTAAATTGTATCCCCTGGTTGGAAATCTAGAACTTGGGGCCATCATTTGAAAATAAGAGGGAACACTTGGCACTGAGATGAAGAGAATTTGGTGATGCTGAATTTTTGGATTTCTGTACTCTTAAGGACATCGGCAGCTCTGTAGTTGAATATATTTAAAGAGATCAGTATTTAGAAATCTATCAATGGCTTAAAGGTGTATGGCGTTGTTGTGGAGAAAATAAAGCATTGAAACGGATGATTGGCTATGAAATACCAAAAGGTGAAGCAGGCTAGATGGTCTATTTGTGCTCCTATGTTCCTCACTGAATATTGTATTGTGTATTGTTTAGCCGGTGTTCTGGATTGCTAGTATTCCAAATTGCCTTTGAAAAATCCAAGCCACTCAGACATAAGTGGTTTTAGCAGTTTTGCTTTGGCCAAGATTCATTATTGGTAAGTGATCAGGTTTAATTCAATTTCTGTGAAACTTGAATCCTTTGTAGAAAAACTGCTCTACGTTTATCCAGGTTAAAACGTATTGCAAGTACCTCGTCCAGAAGTAGCATGAATTGTTCATGCTCCATTCTGTCTTATGCAGTCTGCAGCCTGCCAATTTCTCTGTCTAGATTTTTCTGTCTCTCACCACCCTCTTGCTAGTTGCCCATCATTGTCTTGTACCCTCCCAGTAGCTGGTACTTTGAGGTTTTCTGTGTTTTGGGATTTGGTAGCTTGGCATCCTGTTGTTTCTGCATGGGTCAGTGTTCGCTGGCACAAGTACTTTTCTGTTCATTGATATCCAGTTATTCTTATACCCAATTTCTTACCTTTTCCAGGCGATGATGCCCTCACATCGACGGAGAAGTTGTGAGGTTGCTACGATAAGGATCTAACACACCGGCACTAGTCCAAGGCCACTGAGAAGAGAAAGAAGTCTTTTCACAAGGAAGGTGAATCTAAGATGTCCTTAAGCAGCAGCAGTTCAGCTGGGAAAGGTGTGGATTCGAATGCTGTTGATGCCTACGACAGTGGGGATGAGTGGGATATCGGAGTTGGGAATTTAATCATAGACTTGGACGCAGATTTGGAAAAGGATCAGCAGAAAATGGAAATGTCGGGATCGAAAGATGGAAGCATCCCGGTTCCAAGTGCAGTGGCAGCTCTGCCAGAGAATATCAAGTTTGTCACACCAGTTCAAGCACCTCAGGCTAAGGAGAGCAAATCGAAGGCAAAGAGAAATAAGAGTGCAAAGGATGGGGGTAAATCTGTGTCTGCTGCTTCCCTCTACTCACTGGGAGAATCAGGAAGTGGGAAGAAAGAGATGCAGGGCCGTTCTGGAGATTTGACAAATCCCAGCGGACTGGGGTCTTCCAACAGCACATCCAAAGGGTCAGAAAAGGGCCCAAAGACAGTCCGGAACGGAGCCGGATCGAAAAAGGAGAAGGATGGTGGATCGAGCAAAAGCAAAAAGGATAAAAGTGAGAACAGTGGAGTTGTGCAACCTCCCCCTGGTAATGATCCGAATGCTGCACAACAGCTAGGGTTGGGGTCAGGGTCAAAGGGCAGCTCATTTGAATGTGCTCCTGGCACGAGCTGCCCCGATGGGGCTGCAAGTCAAGTGCTGGATTTGGGAAATGCACCAGTGGATAGCAACACCATCTCTAATCTGTTGGGAATTAAAACAGAGCCTGAGGAGGTTGAGAGTGAGTGTCGACCACTGAAGAAGATGAAAACAGAGAAGGTAAGAACAGTGGTGGTTTTGAATGCTGTGCAAAATCCCAGTTCAGTCATGAGATTGCAGCTTGTTAACTTGATCTCCTAAGCCGAGGTCTTGTTTGACAAACCTCTTCTGTTTCATGTAATGTGAAGTCAATTCCCTGATTCATTGCTGACTGGCTGGTTGATACACACAATATCCTGAAATCTATTGAAGCCTTCCCTACTGAAGTCTTTCTTCAGGACCCCTTATAGCATAGTTAGAACGAATTGTCAGCATTCTTCTCTAGTGACTGCTTTTTGTTGGGTCCACTTGCACATTTTTGTTTAACTCTCCACGCTTGTGATATTATTAGGAAAATTGATGAAGATGAGCATTCATTGGGGATGTTAATGCATAGAAACTGAATCCCTACCAGTGGGAGTGGTATAAACACTTGGGTAGTGCATGCACTGTGCTCAAGGCTACCATTTACCTGGTTATACTTCAGCTGCTCAAAACAAGTTGAGACAATTGAACTGGACTTCATGATGCTGCATTGTTAAATTTTTGAAAATTTCCTGATGTTGTGAATTATACTTTAAATGTTCAGCCTTCAGGTCCAGAGGGACTAGGTGGTAGTGCTGTAGTTATATTTGACACTTAAATCCATCTGCGCTCTCTCTGTGAGGATGGTGCACCTTACTGATTGTTGAAATGACTCGAATTGAGATTTAGATTTATTCTTTCAGTCTGTTGGAGGGTGCTGCTGTTTAGTGTCACCTCCATATGCGAATTCTTAAGTGAGGGGGCTGAGGTGTTGCAATTAGCTAAAAAGTGTTGGATTGCAAGTCTATCTGATTAGTCAGATTTATACTACAGTGACTTGTGCCACAGGCTTATATACGCTCTGATTACTTGATTTGGATCTGAAACAGAATGTGTCTCATCTGAATGTGGCGATCCGACCCGATTGTGAATCCTAAGTCAGAAATATTAACTTGGAAAGTGACATTGAATGGAGCTGAATTTAAAGTAAACAGGCTGATAACTTGGCTGTGGTGATGTTGATCATGGTTTAATTGTGCTGCACTGTATGCAACATTGGACCCTATGTCCTAGGCCTAAGCAGTATACAACATACAAACAGTGCTGAAAAGCTGCAACTGACATGCTTGGAGATATTCAATGAGCTGAGCAGCATCTGTGGAGGGATGAGAAGAGGTGTTTCAGGGTTGGGCCCTTTCTCATTGCTTCCCTCGAGATTTGTGTTGTAATTCCAGGGCTGGGATAAAATGCCCTTGGAAACATTGCTGAGGGAGTGAACAAAATGTTGCTGCACAATTTTCTTGTCAGAATGACATGCTGAATATTTAAAGCTTCACCTTTCCGGCAGCTGGCATTTTACTACAATCATTCTGTTTGCTTTTGGGCTGATCTGTAGCTGGATATGCAGATGATTGCAGGCACTTTGTTCAGAACTATTTGAATAATTTTTGGGATTCTAGGTACGTTCATGCAATGGCACCTCTTATCCTAGTCAGGTCAACCTGTTGTGAACGACAAGAGCAAGAGCCAGCCTGAGCTCAGTGGTCATTCTGTTACTCTCAGATGTTCATGGGTTTACACTCTCATCTACAATTTCATTGGCTGACATTCCAGTGCAGTGCTGAGTGAGTGCTGCATTGTTCAAGGTTCCAACTTTAGGTTGAAGACTTTAAGCCAAGCTCCCCCTTACTACCTTGGGTAGATCTGCTGGTATTAGTTCACTGAAGAGCAGTGAAAGAGCTCTTTCTATAGTGACCAATGTTCATCCCATAGCTGATGTCACAGAAGCAGTTGACACTGGAGGAACGTGATGGTGTGGTGATAATGTCACTGGATTAGTAATCCAGAGGCTTCAGCTAATGTTCTGGGAACATGACAGACAGTGAAATTTTAATTTTAATAAAAATCTGGAATAAAAAAACAAACTTTCAAGAAAGGAAATATGCTGTCCTTTACTAAATTAAAAACCAAAAGAACTGCGGATGCTGTAAATCAGGAACAAAAACAAAGTTGCTGGAAAAGCTCAGCAGGTCTGGCAGCATCTGTGGAGGAGAAAACAGAGTTAACGTTTCAGGTCCGGTGACCCTTCCTCAGAACTGTCCTTTACTAGTTTGGCAGCATGTGACTCTAAACCCACAGCAAAGTGCTTGACTTTGAACTGCCACCTGGGTAATAAATGTCAGTGTCATTCATGGGATATGGATGTAGAAATTTTAAATGATTCATTGCTGTTTTTGGGACCTTACTGTGTGCTGATTAGCTGCTGCATTTTCCTAGATTAGAAAAGTGACGGTACATAAATTATACATTCTTGACTGTCAAACCTGGTGTCCTGAAAAGTGCTGGAGAGATGCAAGCTGCTCCTTCCTATCACCATTGTGCTAAATAGATTGTTTGCAGTTTTTGTGTGTTATGGTTTCACTGGAAGCTTCAGATTTGTATGAGGTCCTTGTCAGAGGTTACATATTTAGGACCCCAGCCACAGGCCCCATGAGCTCATGTGCGTATCCACCTTTGATTTAAATAACACTAGGCTTCTTGTTGCTAACTGAGGGTTCTCTCGTTTTGTGATTGGGCTTCCCTAGAGTAGATGAAACAAAACTGGGTGTGAAAGCTGATTCGTCACCATCCTTAATTCATCAAACAAATGGTACTATCTGCAGTTGCTCTGAGAACCTGTGATTGTCAAATAACAATGCTACAGACATTTGACTCTTGGCAACTGTTTCAACTTCCAACATCCAGATCGAGTTTAACTATTCTTCTGTCTGCACGTTTACTGACCACAGAGCATATTTTGACTACCTATTTAGTGCAGTGAGGAATATGTTACTAGCACTGACTCCTCGAGACAAAGACAAATTGAAGAAAATCTAAATGATTCGGATCCCTCCGTGAGAAATGCCTGAATAAAACAGACACTTCAAAATGATTGATGTTGTGAATTGAATAATGGAGCGTTGACTTCATGTTACTGTCTAGAGAGGTAAACTGTGAAGAATGCCGTGTTGAGAGGGTCAGTCATGATGATGAGTGGATGTGAGGTAGGGCTGCAACTCCTGCTTGGGGTTTAATTTTGAATATGTGAAGGCTGATCTTCAGCTGGACAGTGAGTGAGCTGTTTCTAAGTAAGTTGCTGGTTGTGATGTCTGTGATATTTTAGTACAGGCTGTGGTCTGACACACTGGCCCTGTTGAACACTGAAATTCCTCCAGCTCTGCAGCTCAATCAGCCTGTTTATCGACAGCCCAGGAAGAGACCATTCTGCTCATCAGGCACTCATCTTTGACTTTCTCCCTTAAAACCCTTCAAATTTCAAGTCCCTTGAAGACTGAAGGGTTGGAACACACTTTGTGCTGATTCTTCTATCCTGCTCCCTGTATTGAATCTCCCTTAGAGACAATAAGAACTGCTGATGCTGGAGTCAGAGATAACAGTGTGGAGCTGGAGGAACACAGCGGGTCAGGCAGCATCAGAGGATTGGGAAAGCTGACATTTTTGGGTCGGAACCTTTCTTCAAGAATGGGGGAGGGGGAAGGGATCTATAAAATAAATCGAGAGAGGAGGGTTGGGGCTGGGGAAGGTAGGTGGGATGGTGATAGGTGAGTGCACGTAGGCAGTGGTGGGATTGGTCAGTGAGGTGGGAGGAGCAGATAGGTGGGAGAGAAGACGGACAGGTTGTGTCAGGTCAAGGAAGCGGGAATGAGAGGGAGGGTTGGTCATGGGATGAGGCTGGGGGTGGGGAGATTTTGAAACTAGTAAAGTCCACTTTGAGACCATTGGGTTGTAGGCTCCCAAGGTGGAATATAAGGTGCTATTCCTCCAGTTTCTAGGTGGCGTCATTGTGACACTGGAGGAGGCCCAGGATGGACAAGTTGTCCAGGGAGTTGGAGGAGTTTTTCTGTTGGACTCTCTCACCGAGCATATTCAACTACCTATGTAGTGCAGTGTTTTTTTTTTAATTACGGGCCTCAGACTGATTTGGTTTTTGCTTTTATCTGGAATGACTTTTAATTTATTTGCAATTTCGTGGAGACCTCTTAAAAACCAACACAGCCTTCTATATATGCAGTGAAAGAATGGATTCATGTTTGTGACCCGTTTCCCCTCTTCCAGGGCTGCTGTTCCTTCTAGTACTCTTATCTGATGAATTTCTTCTCACTACAAAACACAAGAAGTGTCTAGGTAAGCCAGACTGGGAAAACTAATTTTTTTCAGTATGTGTTATGAATAAAGAACAATATGCTTGGCACTGCTATTTACTCATGTTTATATCTTCCTAGATCCATGGATCCTATTTACTTTTAATTCTGCACCTGAGCATTTTGCAGAAATCAGCTAGAAGTAATGTAATTTTGAAAAATATAGTTTGACTGTTTATGGGCAAGTAATGGATCTGTGCATGACTGGTATTTGTGCAAAAGGTCCCTGAGCTTCAGTGCTTGTGGCAAACTGCTTTCACCAGCTGTGGAAGCTTGAAAAGCACCTGTAATTTAACCAGGCTTTCATCACATCTGGCAGCTCCAAGTAAAGCCCCAGTGCCCATTCCTGTCTTAGACAGTGCAAGGACCAAGTGAGTGAACTACTAAATTAATACGCTGGACATTGCTTCATATGTGGCATGATCAGGGATTTGTCTGTTCAAATCTTGAGTTGCCAGCTCACCAGCTCGTTGAAAAGGTAGTCTTCTCCATCGAGGCTGAGGCAGAGTTCGCTGACGGGCCATTCAAAGGCACATGTCATCATCTTAAGATAGAGAGAGGGGTGTCAGGAGACTGGATGTTTTTAAACTAGGAATGACACATTGGAGATCACTAGACTGCAAAGCAGACAACACCAGGCCATGAACGCTGACCTGTGTGTTGCCTGAGCACTGTTTAGTCTTGGGATTGATGGATTATTTCTGGATCCTCCATTGACTGTCGATTACATTAGCAGGGCTGTATCTCTGTAAATCACCAGACAGAAGTTGCAGCTGCTTTACGTGGAGAGAGCTCCAAACAAGTGTGATCTCTTTGGCATTGGTCAGTGCAGCAATTGGCAATACCAACCTCCTTGTGATCTGGGATAAAAGCCCCTCAGAAGGAACCGGCACACCAGTGTGAGAGAAATGGTGAGGGTTGGGAATTGTGCTGTGGTTACTGTTACCAGTATAACCTGCACAGGCAAAGTCTCTTTGTACACAGTGATGATTCAATGACAAAGTTGCTGTCTATAGTGTGCAATCATATTTTACTACTTGTGGAGTTCAGTCACTGATTTTACATTGGACAGATTGAGCTGTTTATTTTTGGGCATACTGCAGCATCAGAGTCTCTTGGGCTTGAGTTGTGAAAGTGTCTGCCAGGGATCAGATACTCACTTAGACGTGACCTGCATTCCATCAGTTTAGAGTGGATAGCTGTCTGTAAATGTAAAAAGTGAAATTAATTCTGCTGACTCCATAATATCACAGACACAGTAACAGTTCACTGTCAGTTGTGCATCTGTGCATGTATTAAGTTCCTGCGCCTTTGGGGTGTGATCTCTAATAACCTTGTGCCGTTGCGTTAGGGTTGTGCCAGCCCTTTCCACCATGGATGTCTCCATGCACATTGCTCTGAAGGATAAAGAGGTAGCTTTGATGGGATAGGGAGGGGGGAGCAGTAGGTGACCTGCTATGTTTTTGGGAATGTTGCAGTGAAACGGAGAAAATGCATGGACTAGAACTGAGCTCTTGCCCACCCACCATGGTCTGTTGTTGATATTATAAAGGGTAAGGGGGCCAGAGTTCTAAAATAAAGTATGGAACATCTTGGCTAACATTAATTATTTTAATTTCCCTTCCTCATCCAAGCTCCCTCAGATTTTAGCACTCAGCATAAATTTAACTTCAAGCACAGCACGAAGCCTGTGACCAGTGGTGTCCCACATGGATCTGTTCTGGGTCCCCTTTTGTTTGTCATTTATATAAATGATTTGTTTGAGAATACAGAAGGCATGGTTAGTAAGTTTGTAGACAACACCAAAATTGGTGGTGTAGTAGACAGGGAAGATTTTCTAAGATTACAGAGGGATCAAATGAGGCAGTGGACTGGGAAATGGCAGATAGAGTTCAATCTGAATAAATGCAAGCTATTGTATTTTAGAACAACAAACAAGGGTAGGGCTTAAACAATTAATGGTAGGGCCTTGGGTAGTATTGTAAAACAGTGGGGCCTAGGGATGCAGTTATGTAATTCGTTGAAGATTGTGTCACGTTTAGACAGGGTGGTTAAAAAGGTGTTTGGCACGCTTGCCTTCATTGATCAGTCCTTTGAATGTAGGATTTGGGAAGTCGTGTTGAGGTTGTACAGGATCTTGGTGAGGCCTCCTTTAGAATGCTGTGTCCAGTTCTGGTCGCTCTGTTACAGGAAGGATACTATTAAGGTGGAGAGGGTTCAGAAGAGATTTACTAGGATGTTGCCAGGTATGGAAGATTTGAGTTATAAAGAAAGGCTGGGACTTTTTTCACTAGAGCGTAGGAGGTTGAGGGGTGACCTGATAGAATTTTGTAAAATAATGAGAGGTATAGATAGAGTTAATAGTAGTTGTCTTTTCCCTAGGATGGGGAATTTCAAGATCGTGGGGGGGCACATTTTTAAGGTGAGAGGAGAGAGATTTAAAAAAGACATGAGGCAAATTTTTTACACAGAAGGTGGTTCGTGTGTGGAATGAAATTCCTGAGGAAGTGGTGAATGCGAGTACAGTTACAACATTTAAAAGACATTTGGACAGATACATGAATAGGAAAGGTTTGGAGGGATATGGGCCGGGAGCAGGTAGGTGGGCCTAGATTAGTTTGGAATTATGTTTGGCATGGACTGGTTGGACCGGAGGGTCTGTTTCTGTGCTGTAAGACCCTATGACTGTATAAATACCATGTAATCATTGTCAATTGTCATAAAAATCTACCTGGTTCATAATGTCATTTTGGGAAGGAAATCTGCCATCCTTACCTGTGTCTGGCCCAGATGTGACTCCAGACCTCTAACAATGCAGTTTACACTTAATTACCCTCTATGCAATAAATGCTGGCCTAGGTGGCAATGCCCACATCCCATAACTGAAGTTTTTAAAAAGCATTTAGTGCAAAAGCATGATGAGGAAAGAGCGAAAGGGAAGGATGTGTGAATTTTTGGATGGCTGTGAATGCATAGATTTCATTAGCTCCAGACTCAGAACTGTGTCGAGAGTTGAATACCAAAGATCTCACAATTTGCAGAAGCTATTTTAGCAATTTGTTTGTGTTCAAAATTTTAAAGTTTGACTGAAAAGTTTAGAAAATATCAGAATATGACAATAGTAAATCATTGTACTGAATCGTTTTTCAAAGACAAAAGGCCATTGTGATCAGAAGCAGCCGATGAGCTTTGTACCAAAACAGAAATGCCAGTGCGTTTTTCATTGTTATGGAGAAGAGATAGAGGAGGCTTCTTTTGAGATCAATTTAGTTTTCTTGTAAACCTAGGCATATCATGGCCATTCTGGAATTGCGATTTGGTCTGTCTAGATTGCAGCCAATTGCAAGATAGAAATAAAAAGATGGCAGTTCGACAAGCCTGCATTGAAAGCGTTGACACAATTGCTTACCAAGCAGAAATGCAAGTAGGAGTTTGTCATCAGTTTGAAAACTAGGTTTTGAGGAGTTAAAACAATGCTGGAAGGTCTGTATAGCTGGAGCTAAAGGGAGAAACCCCATGCAAGTTCTCACTGTAAGATAATACTGGAAGAGAACAGAAGTAAATCCTTAGGATTTGTGGATGACTTTGGATTGGTTCCAGAAGAATTGATTATCTACTTCAGAGACTGATTGACCTGAGGAAACTGGAATTTTCAGTTGTTGTTATTAAAAGTAGAAGCGCACAGAATCTGTTTGGTAATTTAAAGAATAAGTTGCTTATGGAAAGAAAGCCTTTTCTTATTCAGTATGTGGATGTACCTATTGGAGAGAAGGAGCAAAACTTGAACTTCTCTTGAGAAATAAGACCGGGCAAGTGACTGAGGTTTCAGTGGGGGAGCACTTTGGGGTCAGTGATCATAATTCTATTAGTCTTAAAATAGTTGTGGAAAAGGACAGACCTGATCTTGTGGTTGGTCGGCTTGCCAAGCTGGTTCGCTGTTCCACAAACGTTTCGTTACCATGCTGGGTAACATCAGTGTAGCCTCCGATGAGGCGCCGTTGTGTTTTTCCACCTGATTTTTAAACTCTGGAGTCCATTGAGCTGGATTACATCACTTCTGGTTTTCCTTCGCAATGGAGTGTATATGGGGTCGAGTTCTATGTGTTTGTTGATGGCTTTCTTCGTGGAGTACCAAGCTTCTAGGAATTCCTGTGCCTGTCTCTGCTTTGCAAGGCCCCATATACACTCCATTGCGAAGGAAAACTAGAAGTGAGGTAATCCAGCTCAACGGACTCCAGAGTTTAAAAACCAGGTGGAAAAACATAACGGCGCTTCATCGGAGGCTGCACTGATGATGTTACCCAGCAGGGTAATGAAACATTTGTGGAACAACAAACCAGATTGGTGAGCAAACCAACCACAACATCCACAACCTGAGCTATAAATCTACTCTTAAAACCTTAGAGACCTGATCTAAAAATTAAACTTCTAAATTGGAGTAAGGCCAATTTTGACATTATTAGATAAGAGCTTTCAAAAATTGATTGGTGAGGCTGTGCGCGGGTAAAGGGAAGTTTGCAAAGCGGGAGGCCTTCAAAAATGAGATAATGAGTGTCCAGAGGCAGTATGTTCCTGTTAGGCGTAAAGGGCAAAGCTGGTAAGTGCAGGGAATGCTGGATGACCAGAGAGCTAGTGAGAACTTAGTGGTTAGCACTGCTGCCTCACAGCATCAGGGACCTGGGTTCAATTCCACTCTTGGGTGACTGCAGGTGTCAGCATGGATTTTCTCTCACAGTCCAAAGATGTGCAGGTTAGGTGGATTGGCCCATGCTAAATTACCCATAGTATTCAGGGATGTGTGGGTTAGGTGTATTAGTCATGGGAAATGCAGAGTTATGTGGATAGAGTAGGGGGTTGGGTCTGGGTGGGATGCTCTTTGGAGAGTCGGTTTGTACTCAATGGGCCGAATGGCCTGGTTCCATATTGTAGGCATTCTATGATTCTGTTTTTATTAATAGTGTTATTCTTGTTTAGTTGATCCAG